GGGGGGGGTGATAAGGGGCTATGGGGGTCCTGGGGGCGGTTATGGGGATCCTGTGGGCGGTTATGGGGGTCCTGAGCGGCCCCCTCCCCACGTTCCCTTGGCCCCGCCCCTTGACGTGACCCCGCCCCCCCTGACGCCGTGGCCCCGCCCCTCAGGTGCGTCAGCAGCTCCGATTGGCGCCACGTGACCCCGCCCCCGCGGATGACGCCGAGGAAGGGGGCGGGGCCGCCGGAGGGGAGGAGTCACGTGAGGGTCGGCGCCGCCCCCCACGCCGCGAATCCCGGCCGGAAGCTCCGCCCCCCGCCAAGCGCCCGCCCCCAGCGCGCCGCCCCGCGACGCCTGGCCACGCCCCCTCCCCTTCAGCTGAGCAGCAGGGGGGCGGGGCTTTGCCGCAGCAGGGGGGCGGGGCTTCCGATCTAGAGGGCGGGACTTCGGGAGCCAATGAGGTCTCCCAGCAAGGGGGCGGGGCCTCCGGACAGGGAAGCGGGGCTGCGACACAAGGAGGCGGAGTCTCTGAGCAAGGGGGCGGGGCCTCTGCCTCAGGGGGCGGAGCTTCGGGAGCCCCCGGGTTGGCGCTGGCGTTCCGCAGCCAGAAGATGCGCGGGATGCAGGAGCTGCTGCGCGCCCCGCGCCTCAACTCCAGCGCCATCAAACTGCAGCTCACCGCGCAGTCCCAGGTGCAGCCGCGCCGCAACCGCGCCCCGGGGGGGGCCTACTCCGTCGCCTTCCTGCGGCGGGCACGGAAAGGGACCTAGGGGGAGGGGGGTCCTGAGCGTGGCTGCGGCTCTCCGTGCGGCCCGAAGGGGGTGCTGCCGCGCCGCCCCGTCCCGTCGCCATCCCGCACGCGTACGTGGACTGAAACGTTCGCTGTGTTTCACTGAACGCACGTTCCGCCGCACGCACGTGTGGTACACGCGTGTTTTCCCTTCAACGTGGCCTTAGAGGTGAGGTGGGTCCGCCCAACCCCCCCCAACGCGTGCCCCACGTGAGCGGCTGCGCTGCCCCACGCGCCCGTTTCCTTCCCTCGCGGCCATAACCGCCTGTCAGACCCCCCCCCCGGTCACGTGTTTCCTCTCACGTGACTCCGTCCCCGCGTTCGTATCCTCCGTCCGACCTCTACGTTCAGCCCCGCCACGTGACCCCCCGCATCCAATAAACAAAGCCTTTTTTTTTCCCGCTCGTCCTTTATTCCCACAATGCCCCGCGCAGCGCCACCGCCCCCAGCATCCCATGGGCGCTCGATCGCTGCGTGACGTCACCGCGAGCTCCCTTCAGGCCGAGGACGCGCTCGGCCAATCCCGCAAACCTTAAGGGCCGCCCTCCGCCTTCCACCAATCCGCTCTGCCTTCCCTTTGATCGGCGTCTCTCTCAGCCAATTGCAGCCGTTTCCACCTCAGCGCTAATTTCCTCCTCCTGACGCTCGCTCTTTACCAACCCGTGCCACTCTCTCGTTGATTGACGAGTTGTTCGGCCAATCCAATCTCTTTCCTTCGGTCAATGCGTAGCACTCCACAAGTCAGGGCCTATTCTCCGCTCTCCGCCAAGCCGCACCGCTCTCCTCCTGAGCGACGCACCTTTCAGCCAATACGCTCTCGCCCTACGCTCCTCTTCCCTCACCGGTGCTCGTTCTCCGGTAATCCGCGCCGCCCTCCACGTGAGCGGCATTTGGCTCAACAAACTCCTCCCTCCAAATCCCATCCACACCGCAATCCCACCAACCCGCACGTCCTTCCACCTGATCGACGTTTTGCTCCCACAATCGCCGCTCTCGTTATTTAAACTCTCAGCTCCCCTCCTCGGGGCCCGCCCTCCGCCTGCAACCAATCAGCGAAGGACTGCTTTTGATCGACATGCCGTTCGGCCAATCTCTGCTCTGCCCACCTCATCAGTGCCCGCCCTCCGACCCTCCTCCAATCCGCTCCGCTTTCTTACCGCACGACATTCCTCTCCGCCAATCGGTGTCCTCGCGACCTTTGCACTTCCCCCCTCCTCCCACCAACCAATCCCCGCTCTCCTCTCTCCGTATAGCCCGCCTTCCGCCTTCCACCAGTCCGCACCTCTCTCCGTATGACTGACGTTCTGCTCGGCCAACCCCCGTTCTCCTCTCCTCGGCGCTCAGCCCCACCCACCGACCAATCACCGCCCTTTTTACCTCAGTGCTCAGCCCCTCCTACTCCCACCTCCCGTCCAATCCCCGCGCTCGCCACCTCAGATCGCGGCCCCGCCCCCCCGCCCCGCCCTCCGACCAATCCCCCGTCTCTCCTCGTTGACGGCCACCCTCTCCCCCCAATCCGCCGCCCGCACCCCGTTGACGGGCGAGCCGGCCGACCAATCGAGGCGCGCTTGGCGGCGCGGCGGCGTGGAAGCTTCGCGAAGCCCTCCTCGGGCGGCGCGGAGCGCTCTATGGCGACCGGAGCGAACGCCACGCCGCTGGGCAAGCTCCACCCGCCGCCGCCTCCTCCGCCTCCGCCGCCCAAACCCGGCTTCCCCCCTCCGGCCCTCGGCCTCTCGGGGC